TCATTTTCTGTGAGGGGAGGTAATAGCAGTTGGGTTTGTCCCCTACCCTCGTAAGACAGTTTGGGTATTCCCTCTTCAATATCCCTCCAATTTGCAAAATGCACACTACTTCAGTCCCAGCTTCGCTGGTGGACAGCGTGTCCCATGTTGGAGGAAAGGGAGACTTACCCACAGTGACTTCTTTCTTCCCTCAGGGTTWCCTGGAGGGCACCTGTTAAAAGGGCAGCCTGCTTCTTCATCTTCTTCAGCCTTATTTGTTGTTGAAAACCTTGAAGGCAATATTCACAAGTTGAGGAGAGTTAGTTTCTGGACCCACATTCGATTTTGGGAGTTTTCTCCAGACATCAGGAATACCCTGAGATATGAAGTAGGTTCCAAGCACTGACTGGCTACTGTCCCCCCTCAGAAATCCATGGGATGTGTCTCTGAAGACATTCTTTCCACCCTCCGCATGAAAGCCTTTCATCTGGCCTCTGCTGAATTTCCCTCAATTTCTCTAATTAACTAGGCATCAGCCAGCTTCTGGCACCCCTAGTACTCCACTCTGACTCGCTCTGCAACTGTGTTGGGGTTAGGAGGGACTCCAGAACTGGCTGTCCAGCCCCCTAGCTTGCTGCTTACTGGCTTGCTTTCTTGCCTCTGCTAGCACAGCCAACTTTTCTTCTCCAGTTAGATTTGAATATCCACCCATAAGAGGTTATGGGTTGTGAAGATACCCCTTATGAGAGTGACAAACCTTCCTGGGTCAGCCTCAGACCTTGGCCATGTGCCTTCCAGTTATAAAGGCTAGTGATGAAAGGCACTTGTACATAYATTAGAGGGAAGAACTCCATTTCCTGGTTTGTAATTGGTCCCATGTCCAATGTTGCCATCAGGAAGAGGTGGGTTTATAGGTTTGAGGATGAGCTAGRTGCAGAGGCCCTGGGAGAGTCCTCCAAACAAGGGGGTTGAGGCTCAGGAGGGTAGAGGACTATTCTCTTCTTAGTCAAAGAAGACTGATTAACTTATATTTCTTTTGGAGTCCCTGATTGTGGTATAAGGCCATAAAGCACTGTCCATAGGGAACTTCATACCACTTTTCTTTCCTCTTACAGATCTAGTTGCAAAATACTATTGCAATTTAGGAACCCATCCTCAAGACCTTTCTCCTGGCCACACAAGAGAAATGTATTGTGGCCAAAGACCATGTTTCTTAGTCACTGACAAATAACCAGACATCCATCAGTGATGGAAACACCCTCATGGGCTGTCTGAAATGGTTGTTCTGAATGCAGATCCCACAAATCTTTACCTGGAATAATTTTTTAACTTAGTCCACTGTCAAAGGATTTCAGAGCATTGAAACTGTAAAATTATAAAACTGGGAGCAGGTGTTTCAGGATATCAAAAAGCCATAGCTCCCTCTGGAGCTCTAGGATTTGATTTCTTTTTGCCTTGCTGTAGATCTTCCAAGGATTCTGTACTGAAGCTTTCTGTATTCAGGCATCCCCTACCAACCTCCCCTTCAGCCTGGACTGAGCTCTAGCTGACCTTTGTGTGAGCTTGCCTGACTAAGGGTCTCCTGAACTCTATTACTACAAATTTGTTAGCCAACTCAAGAGTCTGGCACTACTGACCAAGCTGGGGAGAACTTGCAAACAAAAGGTTCAGAGATGCTGAGTCAGCCAGRATGGCAGCAGGTAAGGAGAACACTGGGTGGATCCCAGAGCAGTAGCTCTCTAGCCAAAGGAAGTAGGGTATTTTACTGGGGAGACAGAAACCTGCACTTGTCATCACATGTGTACACACACAGACCATGCTTCTTCCTGTGTTGCACATTTAATATGGCAGGCAAGAACCCCTCAGGGTAGAGAATTTAGCAAGATTGTAATGGGCAAGGTTATATTAGGTCACCTCTAAAGAGGGACTGGGCAGTTTGGGCTAGTTCCTCATGGTCCTCTCCAAAGGGCAACAAAGAATTTGGAAGATGGTGACAGTCATCAGGGGAAGGTAGCAACTTCACCGTCGTAAGCACAGGTGCTGGACCCCACATGAATCCCCAAGATGAGCCAGCTGAGATATGAGAGGAAGTGCCCTGCACCCTCGCTCTGGCAGGGCCTCACCTGGGTGCAGCATCCAAGAGATACTTCTCGTCTGCACCTGCTGCTGAGATGGCCCTTCCTGGACCTAAAGATACCCCAAGTGAAAGAGAAGAGCTTCTCTACCTAGTCCCCTTGTGGCCCCTTCCCTGTGATATTTAGCAGCTTATTAAGAACTAGTGCTCCTGAAAAGATTTGACCAGAGAAAGGAGAACAGGGAAGCATTCTCCTTAGACATAATTTTGACCAAGACAACAAAGTCATTCCATCTTTGGTACAGCCCATCACCAATCTAACATGTGAATGCATCACCAGAAAATATCTCAAGACCCTAACACTGCTCCCTGGCTCCTGGCCTCCTATAACTGAAAACTTGTAGGATCAGGAAGAGAGGCAAGAAAATCCTAGACACAAGCAAATCATGGGAAAAAAAAAAGTCCATGGGGCCTTCTGCAGCAAAGCACAAGGATCTGGAGAAGACGGATCAGGGGTCAGTTTTTTTTTCCAGGCAGGAAACCTTGACCCACCTTCTTCCTGCATGAGCCTGCACTGTAAGCTAAGAGTCATCTGTACTTTCCTTCTCAGGGCTTGTGAGTAGAGGCAGGGAATGCTGGCTATAGTCAGGAACATGCCATCTCAAGGGTAACGGGTAGGTACTATACAATTAGAAAAGTTCTTCAACCTGTTGGTCCTACCTATAACTGGCCAGGACCACAACACATGGTTCCCTATTCCCTTGATCCTTTTTATTTTATAGTGTGAAATCAGGATTAGGATAGAAGCCTATAGGATGTCTCCTAATGATGGAATGTTGCCTATCTGTGCTATACAAAATAGCAGCTCCTAGCCACATGTGGGCACTGAACTCCAAATGTCTATAACATTAAGATTAAAAACTTGGGCTTCACGAACCAGCTCCCAAGTAGGAACTTTGAAGGCTTGCTCTGCCAAGTTACTAAGTGTCCAGGGTACCTGCTGTAGTAAAGACCACTATGGAAAGCCATGAGGAATCCATCTTGGTGTTTAGATTTAAAAAAAAAAAAAAAAAAACTGGAAGTAATGCAATGGAGTGGAGGCCTTTAAGTTGCTTTGTGATATTGGCCAAGCCAAGGCCCCCTCTCTGAGGCTCCTTTCTTGATCTGTAATATTAAGGGCAGAAAGAAGGATTTAAAAAAAACACAATTAAAAGACTAGGGATTATCAAGGCCCTGTCAGACAACTTGCATTGTGTAAGCCAGTCTACAACCTGTATCTGGGACCTGGGAAGAAACAAGCCAAATAATCAGAAGAATGGGAAGAACCATCTTTACTTCCAAGGAAGGGCTTTGAAAAGTATCCCCCCTCTTCAAAGCCTTTCCACTGTCTCCACTGTAGGTGATCATGCTATCCCTGTAATAGCAGTACCACTTGAGAAGTAGGATGTACTGTACATGCTCTTTCATTTCCACCCTAAGACAAGCTCTACCAAATAGCATTCCAGCCAGAAACCCATTTTATAAGAATTCAAGGTTCTCGTGATGTACGCGCAGGACCCAGTCATACAAAGTGTCCGCTGTGAGAGTAGGAGGCTAGACCTGCGGCCTCGCACTGATTCCCGTGGCCTTGGGTGCTTAGAGTAAGATGTATGCAGGAGGAATGCCACTCTAGGGCAGCAACGTTCTCGCCAATGCCCCATACACAGGATAGTAAATGGGGATGAGATTTGATGTCCTTCCCTCTAACTCAGGAAAAAGAACAGTCTTTATCAAACATTTCTATGCTAGTGTCAYTTTCAATCATGTCCCTTTCTCCCATTATATCACAGGCTTCTTCTCTTTATAGGAATGGATGTGTTTGCAGAATGTCATTAGCCTGAGAGTTAGAAGTGGGGAACGGGAGGGCCTGCTGCGATTTTAAGGCAGATTGCTCAAGCTCCTGAGCTGACTGCCTCACAGGACGATGAGTGTCAGAGATGGGAGACCCCTGGCTCATTATCTAACCACTCGCCCCCTACATTACTGAGGAAGACATGAAATTTGAAAAGAGACCTGACAGTAAGTGCTGCTAACTCCAGGCTCTGCACAACTCAGGGTTGGCCTAGGCTGCAGCAATCAGGAGGCCCCGAGGGCACCTCCAGCCAAGGGGCTCCATGTATCTCTTTAGACCCTGCACTAATTTCCACCCATGCTGTGGGTGAGTAGGCAGGCGCTTTTTCTGCTAGCTAGCATTGGACAACCTTGGTCAAATTATAGCTTCGCTAACCCAAAACCTCTATCTGTGTTCATGGATTAGTTCAGCAATTATGAGTGGCTTTTTTTTTAATCTTAAGGAGGAAGATAATTGTAGACTAAAGTGATTCTCTGTACCTTTGGCATTTCACCTGGCACTTGCTTGCCATTCTTGGGTTTTCCTATTTATAGAACCTACCGCCATCACCTCAGGAGTCACTGACATGCATACCCTCAAGGAGCTACCACTGAGGAATGTATGAGGAAAGAAGCAGCAGGTGGTAGTCAAGCCACTCCAAATGTGGCAGCTCCCATTAAGGAGCAGTCTTGGTAGGTTTGCATCTGCAAACATCACCTTGCTTCACTGTGACCCCATACACACACTTCGTCCTTATCAGCATTTCACAGATGAGAGAATTGAAGTTTAAGGAGGACCAAGAGATTTGCACTCAGGTCCCACATGATATGGTAGGGCTGCCCTGGATCCCAGGCAGCCTATCGAGGAGAAAGTTGGGTTTTTTTTTTGTTTTTGAACCCAGGAAAGCCAGCACTCTGCTTYGGAGGCTCTGCAGCATGCTCATGACCCTGTATTGCTGCTAAGTGCCCAGGCTCCAGAGCAGAGAACCAGGGGCAAGGTAGCCTGGCTTTTCATGAAGGCCTGCTGCCCTGTTCTTGGCTAGTTTCTCTTTTCATCCACCTGTTCTCTATTTCACAGGCTTCTGCAGAAACTCCTGGGCTCACAGACAGAGGGGGCTCTGATGACTTCATCCTGGTTTCAAAAGAAGATGAGGGGGGCAGTGCCAAGGGGCACTTCTCAGGTCAGGCTCAGCCTCTTCGCACCCTCAAAAGCACATCTGGGAAAAGCCGGACCCTGGCCTGCTCTCCTCTGGTGTTCTCAGATCCCCTGATGGGCCCAGCCTCAGCATCCTCCAGCAACCCCAGCTCCAGCCCTGATGACGACAGCAGCAAGGACTCTGGCTTCACCATCGTGAGCCCCCTGGACATCTGACCACAGGGACCCAGTCTCCCCCTCAGGGGCCTCCCTAGGGGAGACCCCTCTGAAACCAGTGCTGCTTCCCCAGCATGCATTTGGCATTGGTACAGCCCATTGGAACCCTTTAGAAAGAAGCAAATACACCTATGTTCACAAAAATGCAGACAGGACTTTCTGGGCCCTTACCTGACCCCACCCCAATTCTTGCTCTGAATTAGAGCCAGACTAAGTACCCAGAACCATACTCTGAGAAAAGACCAAGCCACAATCAGAACCACTTTTCCCCATCTTCTCCTCCCCAACTGAGAGTGTCTGACAGTGCCATCAGTTACCTTTAGGTGAAGGTGGACAGTTTCCCTCCCTCAAAGCGTCAGCCACCGGGAAAGTAGTTGATATCGAGAGTGCTTTCTCTGTAGAAATCTGTCTCATATTACTTAGTTCCTACCTAGGGAAGCCATGTAGCAGAGCCAAGTGCAATAGAATGAACTAGAACAAGGGATTCCAGGACATGGAAAAACCCATTACTCAATTACTGACCTCTCAAAATTATGATTTCTAGAAACTGGGTCTAAAGTTAAAAGTTGTTTGGAGGTATGGTGTGATTTAAGATTCGTTAAAGAAGACATTTAAAATCCTCAGGCTAAATAGATTTTGGCCTTATAGTTCCTCCTTAAACAATTGTATTTCACTTTTTAGAATCTTTTACAGAAAACAAGGTCACTTTAAGCTATCTTTACTATACTGACTTCATAAGTTGCAAGAGTATTACTATCCTTGAATTGAAAAAAAAAAAAAAAAAGTGACCCTGACTCTAAGGGTTATACATCTTTCAGTCAAAGTGTCTCTGGTTTCAGAGCTGTATTTTACTGAGAAGTAGAGGGGGAAAGCCTTGTTTATTCCTATCTAGAGTCAGAACCCCTTAGTGGCCTTATGGTAGCAGTGACAGGGAATTGGACCTGGAGTCCTTTCTCTAGGGAGCAGGGCTTCCTAGAGAACATTCCAGGTGCTGGGATGTTCCCTCCCTGGGAGGGAGGAAGGAATTGCAGGGCCTGTGCTCAGCTATAAACTCCTGTGTCCTGGGCACCACCACCAAGACCAGGTCTGACATACTGGTACTTTCCTGGGCTTCACAACAGATTGGAGACCACCTCCCTCAGCTGGCAGTTTAGGAACACACAGCATCACCTAAGCTGTTTCTCTCTGTAAACGAAAAGGACCCAAGAAGGACACCTCTCCCCTGCACCTGAGCAGGTACTCTGCCAGGGACAAGTAGGGACTGCAGATGGACATGGGACCTGTTTTGCTTCCCAGAGTAAAGAGCAGCCCTTGCGGGGAGGCCTGGCTCTCCTCAGCAGATGGTAGGGGCAGCGGCAGCCTTCATGGTAACTTTAAATGAAAAGTTAAGTCTAAAAGAAGACTCCATTTATGTCCCTCCCACTGATAACCATATATTTCTCTACAGACAAATGTGATAATGACATGATTTCCCACTCGATCTCTAAGAAAATGGTGATGACTCTCAAGTCAGCTACTGCAGAGGTGGTTCTAATTAGCTCTACAATTTGCTCTTAATTAACAGAAATCCCCTCTCACCAGCAATGTGAGGTTAATGACTGGTTTGGCCAGATGGTGGGGTGTCTTTCCTTCCATGACTGGGCAACTGCTCAACAGTTGCACCAGTTAGCTCCCTGGTACCTGAGTCTGGTCCTCTCAGCACCTCTGAGTAAACTGTTCTGGGGCACGTCCCTGTGKCGACACTTTGTAAGCTCTAGGTCTTTGTGCAGTGGGCAGCCTCATACCTGTGCAGGGGTCACTTTCTCAGAAAGGACTTGGGAAGGTGTCAGAAGTTCAGTTCTAGGAAGTACAGAATTGTCCTCTGCTCACTCCCACATCTCCTTTGCCCTGGGAAATAGAGGGATAGCTGTGTGTCACTGGCCACACAAGAGCCACTGCCACCCACCAAGCCAAGAAGGTTCCCTGCCATTGGCTGGGCATTTAATCATCACCAGAAACTCTCAGCCCTGTACATATGCTGAGGGAGGGTCCTCTCCATCCTGTACTTCTGTGCTGGTGCCACACGAGCACTCGGAGGTGCTGCCTCTGTGAGCCCACTCCCTTCTCAAAGGAAACGTAGGAGGGGAGCCTGTAATGCAGCACCAGCCTCAGACCCCACCCCACAGGTTCAGAGGTAGAGCAATGTAGGAGTAGTGTTTTTTTCTAAGTGACTCTTTTTTTAATTATTCTTTGGTGAATATCATTTGCATTTTTTATTAGTTACAGTGCTAAAGAATGTGTTCCTTTTTATTATTTTATCAGGTACTTACATTTATATATTTTTTTAATCTTGGACATATGAGACCTTTTTGTTTTTCTTTAACAATTGTGGTAATCCGTGGAATTCCTCGCATGTTGTGATTATTAGCAGTACATTTTATATACATTAAGCTTAGATTAATTCCCGCTGTCATCCACTTTTTTTATACATGTCCCCATGTGTTTCATGCATTCCTCTCTAATGAGAAATGAATTAAAATTATCTGTGCATTACAGACTAGAGGAAGAAAATCAGCTTACTTTGCCTTATATTGTATGTATGCCAAGGTCATATAACACTTTAAACATTCAGCTATACTCGATTATGAACTCCTGCTTATGTTCAGTGCCAACTGCAATCTGTAAAGAAGGACAGCACTGCAGAATGAATGTGCTCTGCCCTCTCACGTGTGACTGGGCTGACTCTAGGGCACTGTCCTTTGCAGCACTGAGGAAGCTGCCACGGAGCTGGGTGCCTGCCACTAGCAGGAACACTGCCTTTACTTTGTCAGAGATGCTGAGTAGACATAAAGCTCTGACAGTTATAGTTGATCCAAATTTATCAGGAGACAGCATGACAGGTTATCATTTTTGTTTTTTAAGAATCACCCGTACAGGTCATTCAGAACAAGAGAATGTATGAAGGACTTAAGTCTCCAGCTCGCTGAATGGCTATCCTGTGAGTGCAGGGCTGGTTCCATTGCTCCTCCCCAGCAGACACACGCCTGGCCCTGCCCTGTGTGTTCAGTGCAGGAGCAGCAGGGAGCCTTGGGGCAGGGAGAAGCGGCTGCAGGAACAGGGACAGCAACTGGCCAGCCAGGCTCCTCCTCACTGGCCAAATCACTTTGTTRGTGTTAACTTTCAGTAGCTTCTTCTAGTGGTAGTAGTTCATGTAAGCAGGCTGGAGACCACGTTGATATAAAAAGTTGTCATGATAACTTTTCTCACAGTGGCATAATTCACTTGATTTATAGAATTCCCAGTAGTGCCCTCTACAGCATACATACCATTTTTCTCATCCATCTTTATGCTGTAACTCATACTGATATAAGAAACGATTTATCCTTTTGGCAAAGTGATCCCACTCAATACGGTTATAATAAAAGACTAATGTGAAACTGACAGTGTAGCTTGACTTTTTCCAGGTGGGGTGAACACACATTGAGGTCAAGTGCAGGTATGGACATGGTCCAGCCCCCAGGCAGAGGTCACACAGCCTCAGCACTGTCTTGGTCTCACCTACCCCCTGGAGAAGACCCAGGACTCTCACTAGTTGCCATCCTCTCCAACTCTGGCAAGTTGCTTAACCTCCTGGGCCTCGGATTCCTTATCTACAAACTGAAAATTCTAGTAGTCACCCATTTCATGGGGTGATAAGGATCACAGGGGATAACTGATTTAAAGCATGTAGCACAGAGAAAAGCAGGACAGCTAAGGATGATTCTGGACAGGGTAGAGACCGACCCCTTCCATTGACAGCCATCCCTCCCCCACCCTCCAGAGGCCTGGCTACTCTTCAGACAATCCTCCTGCTTTGCCTGCTGATTCAAGAGGCCATTTGGGGGCCGCCCCAAAGGCCTACCACCCCTTCCCACTCCAACAGCACCAAGTTTGTCCTACTAGCCCAACATTCAGCACAGGGCAACGACACAGGAATGGTGCTGAGAGCATGCTTAAGGGTCAGCCAGGAAAGGTGGAGGCTGGGGGAGGAAACTTTGTAGAGCCAGGAAGCCAGTGGCTCCTAAGAATGGGTGCTTGGGCCCAGCCCCAGACTGCAGGACACTTTCCCTGCCTGTGTGCCACAGCTCCCTGCAGGCTCTGTGGAGGGTCTGGTCCACCTCTCAGAAGGCTCCTGCTAGTGARGGTTACCCCAACTTCCTCAGGCCAGTGATAACCACATTTGCTCCCCGAATGGGACCTGGGGTGCCTTGCCCACGTTCCTCAAGACTGATGTGCTACAGTTCATCCTGCCCTCTCTGCACCCCCCTCTGGAGACTTGGCTGGAGTCCCAGGAAACTGCTGCTCCTGGTGTGAAATGAGAAAACCAATCACCCGGCACAGCTCTAGACAGAAAGCTGGGGGTCAGTTGTGAGTGCAGCTGCCCTAAMCCCTGGTTGGGACTGACCGCCTGAGGCCAGTGCTGGTGTTTTCCCACAGCTCCCCTGCAAGGTTAAGCTCAGGTTGCTGGCTGCCTTCCCTCTGAGTCTTCTCTCAGGATCTGCTTCTGGGAAACTCAAACTAACATTCCTTCCCTCCTGAGACATGCCTGGCTCACCCCAGCAGGGTGGGGAAAACAGGAAGCAGCCAAGGTGTCAGGTTGGCTGAGCTTAGAATCCTGGCAGAAGAGGGGTTGCTTAGATGCTCCTTCCCTCCACTGTGGTCAGGAGACTGCACAGAGACTGCTCAAGTCCCATCTAAGGGCCAGGACAGCCCCTCTGTGTTCCAGAACCACCTAGTTGCCAACTCCCATAAATGAGCAGTACCCATGGCCAACAGTGCCCTGCTAGGAAGAGCTACTGACAGTTCCACCTTTATTTTGTAACTTATCTCTGCCACAGCCAGCATCCGTAGCCTTTTGAGGATGTATATGTGCCATCAGAAACTTTTGCACTGAGAGCCACATCTGTTTGTGAGAAGAGATGCTAGTTCTCACAGGAAGGGAAAGGGCCCTGGACACAGTGACAGCTCCACAACCCAGAGGATCCACTCAACATCCATTATCTCACTCCTCAGAGTGTGAGGTTACATGAGTGTTCAGACACAAAATACCCCTCAAGTTGCCAGGAAAGGGTGGAAGAGACATGTTTCTATATAAGGAAAAAGCACTGGGGAGAAAAATCCCTTCCAGCCTGAAGGGAGTCCCAAGGCTTCAGGTGGAAGGGCTAGGCTAGCCCGAGTCAGCTGTTGCTCTATAGGGATGACAGGGACTCCCACTTAAAAAAAAAAAAAAAAAAAAACAATAAATGCTACAAAGTAGTTAAAGTGTGGAATTATGACTGCCAAATAAGTTGCACTTGCCCACCAGCATCTGCTGTAATGGGGGCTGGCCCCCCATGGAGGACTTGATGAATCAAACCCCTGGTGACTCAGTGGAGTGCACTCATGGGCTGTAGTTCAGGAAGTAGCCTGGAAACCCTCCCATGTCTCTCAGACTCATAGAAATGAAGGGATATTGAACAAGGTATAACTGAACGGAGGATGGGGCTACAGGGTTGCCCCTCATAATGCTCCCAAGGGAGTCACAGCCAGCAAAGGCCATGATGTAAAGAGGAACTGTCAATGACATTCTTGGCCCTTAATGCAGGCAGTGCCACCTCCTGCCTCCTCAGCTTTGTCCCATTCAGCTGTTCAAGCTCCACATGCAGCCTCCCTGTCCTTGGTCCACCCTACAGCTTGGTCAGATCCCACCCCCATCCCACTGCAGAGGAGGCCTGGTCCCACTTGTCAGGTCTGGCCAGTAACCTTGTTCTTCTAATTATCCAGCTCAACTAACCTAAA